GATTGATTTTGCTGTCAGCTAGCAAATTGCCACAATTCATTAACAGCCAACAGAGATCATATACTGCTTTTGAGTTGTGGAAGACCACAGTTCAATTCCCAGCTCTGTTGTTTAGTTCTGGTATCACAGCTACTGTTGTAATGAATTTCTTGATGGGCAGGTAAAGCAACAGGGTTATTGATGGAAATACTTTTCAGAGAAAGAGAGAGCTCAAATACTGAATAGCCATTACCAAAGTCTCTTTTATTTGTTTTGTGTTTAAGCTACAATATATCAAATGATACCCAATACTGTTAACTCCTGGTTTCCACCCATGTAAGTGAAAGCTGTTTGACTGACTGAACTTCTCTATTTCAAAGTAAACTAGTTACAAAAATATCTATTGGCTACATCATTGCCTTTGATGATCTGATCTTCAGCACCAGTGAGACAATTGTTGAAAATATCAAATCTTAGCACTTCTGTCACCTATCTTTGTTCAAGTCTTACAGAGTGAAATGGCTACAGTTCACGAGTGTTTATGGCACAAAAAAAGACCAAAATCAAATCAGTAAGCAAAGTTAATAAGCTGACCCAAATAGGCATACTTTTTTTCATTACAAAGTCCTATTTTATCACAAACCTTGCCATGTGTTCTGATGCTGTTTAGGCAATGCTACTATGGCCTTACACTGGTCATAAGTACAATGAAGCACTGACACAAAAGGATCAGTGTGAGAAACCATAAATGTTCTTGTTCATTTTCAGAGCAGAAGAAATTGAAATTGCAGCACTTGTATTTTGGAAAACATTTGGACAGAACAATTTCTGCTCAATTTATGGGAACTTTACAACCCATCAACAATAGAAAAAAAAAATAATTCCATTATTTACCCTTTTAACATTAACAGGATCCAAGATTGGCTCAGTGATGAGGTTTAGCAAAATATAAGTTCTATTCAGACCTCAAAGACTGTATGTCATATACATACATATTATGTTTCTTCAAGAGCATATTTTCCAAATAAGCTCAGAAATTGGATTCTGTCACAGGTTAATTTTTTTTTTATTATTTTTTTTTTCTGTTTGTATTTCCTGGCATAAAGATTGGCTTTTCCAGTGCTAGCTGAATAATACAAGTTTAAGAGATTGAAATATAACTATCCTCTTCCAGTCCTCACCTAATATAAATTGTTATGGGTTAACTTAAAAGTATATACAGATTTAAATCAATGTAAAATGTTTCAAGACACAGGAGATTATTTCAACCTCTCATGAGTAGACATTGATCAGGCGAGGAATTCTAATAATCACATTTTCTTTCCATGCCAAGATTGCATTTAACTGTGCTCAAATGCAATTGAAGATAGTCCTGACTTACATGTATTTCTACATGTATGATAAAAGTGTGTTGTTTGAGGATTTAATAGTCTGGAGAAGACTGGAGACTGAAAGGACATCAGTATGAAAAAGGGGATAACATAACTGACCGAAGTTCCAAAAATGTCATTTGGCATAGAAAGCAAATTACCTCCTGTTTACTTTTCCTAGATTTTGATGTAGGAATCTTCGTCATAAAATAAACTTAGAGCTGATTTCTATTATTCCGTATGGAATAGGCTGAAATGGGATGGTATCTTCCTGAAAATGTTTCCCTATTTTTCTACCACTGTGAAAGCAAGCATATAAAAGGAGGCATCCCATTTCCCTAAATATGCTTTCTAAATGTTAAAGGGTTAAAGCAATTTCCAGGGGTCTCTGTCTAGAAAAAACTCTCTACTGATATTTAATTGACCTGCCTTTGCTCTGAGCCATGCAGTAAAATACATTGGAATCAAATGTAAATGCCTCATTGCACATTATGTAAAGAAAGTCAGTTTAATTTGCTTTTTCTGCCACTATTACACAAGGCCAGTGTGCCCAGTTGTAAGTAAAATTTAATTTAAATTGGTGCAAATATTCTCATTCATAACAGCTGATGATTAATCCCACTGATTTTAGTATGACTGTATTAGGCCTTATTCTCACAGAAAGTCTGTGAGCCTGATTTTTTACTGCAGTTTTCCCATAGATCTCTCCAGAAAGGATAATTTATAATGTAAATACATCAGAAACATTTTCACACACTTAGACCAAGCAGAAGTCATTGCATGGAGTGAAATGTACTGAAAGACTGGCCCTATCTACTGGCCAGAAAAAGTGTGGCATATTCAGAGGGAAAAAAATATTCCTCTTTAATTAAAGGCAAAAATATTGTTCTGAACAAGAAAAAAAGTAAGCTGAACATTTCAATTCTCTTTAGACATTAAAATAAAATCAAAATTGAGGACCAGATTCTGGAAAACCATACCAAAATAAATCAGCACCCATGCAAAATTCCAGCCAGTGGGAATAACTTATTTCCTGGAAGACTATACTGCACGGCCAGAGACGTATTTCTTTTCACACCTGTAATGTTCATGTATGATCTAAAAGCCTTTGATGACAATTCATGAAAACAGTTTTTCTCTCCTGTTCATTGTTACTACTTGGCTTCTGGTATTCAATTTAGCTAGGACTATTACAAGTTTATCTGTTCCTGTACATCTGACTGTCCATATAAATTATATATGTCCCCAAAATACTACCCCATCTCACTGCTCTTCACTCACTTGGATAAAAACATCTAGTTGGAGTAGTCTCACTGAAGTCAACAGGACCATACTTAAAAATTAATACTATTCAATTCTATTGGTCTTAACCTTATAACTGTTAGATTTTGTGTAAGTTATTTGCACACTGATATCATTCACACATGAAAATTATTACACCTCTTATCCTGTTTTGCAGAAACATAAATAGCAAAACAAAAAGCAAATCACCTACCACTAGATTTAGCACATCCTGCATCTGTTAAAAGTATTAAAAAGCCATTGTAAGCACATCCTTCAAGCTTATTGCATCCCTGATACTTTTCAACTGTTGCTGCTGCTTTCCACTAACTCCTCTACACTGCACTAAACCTCCCAAACCCAACAGGAATCAGCTGTAAAGTCCTGTTCCACCAGCAGCCAACTACCAAACAGGTACAGTACGTACATGAACACTGCTCAGTAACTAAAGCTACTGCTTAACAATAAGGATTTAAATTCCTGAAGTCAGACAAGGAGAAAAATATTTATGAAAGTTTATAAAGTCATAAAACCTTAATGGTGCTCAAGAGCCTGAGTCTACCTTTTGATAAACTATTAGAAATTACTTGAAAGAGCTTCATAAAATCTGTAATGACAAGATCAGCAAGACTACTGCTTTAATTCTTGCAGTTGTAGAAAATTTAATGAACCACACCTATTCTTAAATAATTGGCAGAGTGGCAATTGAGCATGGCACACTTTTTGCAGCATTTCAGCTGAAGCCGGGCTATGTATTCCTCAGGGACACTTGCATCATGGTGACACCCCTTCAGACACCACTTGGCATTTCTGCAAGTAATTTGGTAGTGTTCAGTGCTGTATCACAATTAAGATTATACTCATTGTTTTGTTAGTCATTCAAGTGAAGATGCAATGTTTAAACACACAGCAGCCACACAGTGTGGAACCTTTGAAGTGACTGGTAGGAATACAGCTAAATATTTACATTAAAAAAAACACAAAACTGTCTTCTGGAACATTTCCCAGGCTAAATAACAGTCTTTGCCAACACACCTGCAGCTTTTGGTAACTAATTAAGAAACTTGAGCAAACACACTGAAAAACCCTCAAAAACCAATGCAGACTCCATTACATAAAAAGAAAAATATTACTCCATCTCAGCAACTGATGCACATATAATTGCTATGCTTTTGTCTTTACTTCCTTTTATAACGATGCAATTATTTACAACACATTCTTCTGAAAGGAATTTGGAATAAAGTAATTCTAAGGGAGAGAAAAAGTTTCACTAATAGAAACTACTAATTACAGAATCTACACCTTGGAATCTTTTCAAAAAGTTTGTCTCTTGATACTAAAGACAGAAAACCAAAACATTGATTTACAAGTTCATTAATACGTCAGCATTGCAATAAGGTCTCCCAAAATGGAAAGACATTTGGTCCCTCAAGCAACCAGAAACGTCTGTCACTGCATAACTGCAGACTTGAACAAGAAGTTTGTCTTGATAAAGCATTGTGATTGTGAAGACATTTTTTTTCAAACTATTTTAGCTTTTCACTTTGTAGGTCTGTAAACAAAAAAGCTTTAATGAAAGCATATACTAAAATGTCTTAGTGACAGATTGATACAATCAGGGGCAGTGTTAAATTTTAGGATTATATAACACACAAAGATTTGAGAGCTGTAGCTAAGGCTCCTTTTCATTTCTGAAATATATAGAATTTGTTTGAGGTATTACTTTAAGAAAAATATGCTACTATTTGTGCTATGACTAGAAATCAAGATTCTGCTATTCAAATGCATGCAGGTAACTTTCTATACCCTACTACTTTAGCCCCCCATCCTGCAAACAATTAAACATATATTTAAATTTATGCATGTGAATGCATAAATAGATACACTAAAAAAACATAATGCTAATAATGAGGATCAAAGCACCATCTGTAAAGTGCATCATCATAGACCGCATAGCTTGTTTTAACCAAGGCAAATCTGACAGCTGGGTTTTGTACACCTGAATATGTGTTTGTGATAAGAGTTTTGCAACACCTCAGAAGTATGGGGAAGATTAAGTGTGGGCTGCAGATCCAAATGGCCCCAAAAAAAAACAACAACAAAAAACTAGTCCAAATATTTTTGTCTAGTCTAGTCTAAATATTTTTGTCTGGTCTAGTCTAAATATTTTTCTTTGTGGCAAAAACTCAGGGATAAAGTTACAATTTGTTTTAATAATTAACCCATGTTTGTAAACATAAGTCAACCTTTTCAATCGCATTGGTCTTTTCCACTTCAAAGGGGCTTTAGTTTGTCTTGAAGGTTACAATGTTTTGTACTACCTGACCTTAGCAGACTGGGCCACAGTCTCACAGAACCATCACACTCACAATGACCTCCCTGAAAGAAGTTTCAGACCATGAAAATGCTGTAAATTACTGTTGAATACAGATTTAGAAACAATACATACAGAACTACACAGATTAAAATACACTCAGCACTGAGATCAAGTTTTATAACATACAGTACTGCAAAACAGACCACAAAAAAAATACACAGCACCAAGCATTATCCACTTTATTTAGACACAAGTAACCTTCAGTTATCCTGAGATACTCCAAAAGGCTGTAGACAGAAATAAAAGCGTGTTCTTTCAGCTTTTTAACGATACTTTGTGTCCCAAAAGCTCGCAGTTTCATTTTGTCTATAAAATTCCTTGCTTACAGGTTCTTTCGTAATTAATAACTACAACGCAACAATGGCTGCAGTGACTGCGTTTTAGCAGTTGATGGCGACAATCACCTCAAGAAACTGACTAGCTAAACGTTAGATGACATTTTTACATGGGACTGCCGAAAAATAATTTTATAGGAAGGCAAAACGCAAACGTCGAAACAACCAAACCAGAAAAACTTGAGGGAAGTATGACACTAGCCATCCAAATCCTATCCTGTTTAGAATGTGTGTATGTGTGTAAAGGTAGTGTGTGTACAGTATGTAAATCTTTTCATTTTGCCATGCAAAAAATGACACTGGACTCGAAGATACAACACTTGTAATTCAGACAGGAACACGCAGAGAGCTGCTCCTGTACCTGGATGGAAGCATCCAGGTATGGCTTTCCTATGAGCCAAGAGCTGCAAACTTGGTTTAAAAGTTTCTAGGCAGGGATGCAAGTGCCTATATAAAAATAATATTTTATAACTTTATATTAATAATTTCGCTTTGTAACATTTAAGTAGATTACATCAAAATATATACCTTTCGATACACAAACATAAAATATCCGTGCTTCCTTAGGGGCCTGTACTTAATGGACTTAATGCTAAAAACGGACTTAGTGGTGATGCTAAAGAGATGGACAAAACAAGTGGGAATCAAATAGTCTGGGGGGGACTTTTTACCCGAGTCTAGGATGGAAAGAGATGAAAGAAACTTTACTCCTTTGTACAAGTTGATCAGTAATGTCAACTCCAGGCACTCAAAGGCCTAGTGAAGTCTCAGAGCTGCCTTTTAAGAACTCATCTTACTCCTCACGTCTTATTTTAAAACTTTTTTTCAGGTAAAAACGTGTCCTCTCCGTTCTGCCGGCTCAGGGCCGGGGACGGGGCCTGCGCGTCTCTCCTGCCACCGCCAGGGGTACAACTTACATCGCTTTTCACCTGAAATCCAACACGGTGACACCAGAACGTGGCCGTGCCAACAGTAGCTTAAAAAACAAACTTCTGGAGGTCAAATGGTGAAGGAGGGGGGTTCATCCCCGCGGGGGG